AACCTGAGCTACAGGGAAATTKAAGATACTGTCGTAACAAAAAAGAAGCTGGAGTACTAGTTTTGGTCCCATCACAAAAATCTCAGATACAGTAATTTATGAAAACTTCCATTCCTATAGAATATGACTGTGAGTTTTCTTTGTCTTCCAGTATGGCAGTGAATTTAAGGACCAGTTAAAAAAATGACTTCCGATGAAGTATTTTCAGGCTTTTTTTTTTAACAATCATCTTAGCTGTTTTTTTCTGAGAAGAGGTTGCTTCATTTTTGTCATTTCCACAGAAAAAGTCTTCCTGGTACAAGTTAGTAGAAGGGATTTTTACATAACTTTAAGCTAGCTTTGAAATGAAAATTGACCCTGCAACCATTGTTACTGTTCTATGTAGTCCAAGGAACATACAAAGAAAGGAGTACAACATCTCAAGTATTGATCATGAAACCACAAAAAAGAAAGCTTACTGCATAATTACATTTCCAGTTATCTACACTTCTGTTGSCTTTTTAACATATTTCATCCCATAAGATATGGTACAACTTTGTAATTCACAATTTCTTTTGCTCTTCCAGGTACTACATGCATGGAAAGTTAATGACATTGTAAGCTTTATAATCTCAAAAAATTTAGAAGTTTACTTTTCTACTTCCTATAGAAACTACAGCCTTTCTGAACTGTATKAATGCAATCCAAATATTTGTAGGTGGTTTCTATCTACTCTCCAGGGATGCAAATCATAAATATTCATATGTGACTACTCTCATAAGCAGGCTTTAGCTTTTCATTTCAAGTAATTCCACTGCAGACTTCTTTGTTATTTCATTTCTTGTTTTCTGAGCTGACAGTTTTAACWAACACAAACTTATATTGCAATCCACCACTCTCTACAAAATACTGTTAGCAAAAATGTTTGTGAGGGAAGGGAGAGATCACCCAATTTACATATTTTCAGACCAAAGAATGCAATTCTAGCAATAATTCTTTCATGTCTRCTACAGTGGATTCTTTGCATTAGACTACTCTTTTTCATCCTCAAGTATATATAAATGTTGTGCTCACACGAAGGCCTTCAGCAGACCTTTTATCCAAGATAAACAGACAAATTACATTTCAGTCTGATCTGATATCCTCACACATTCTAGACTTCTTTTCTTATTTGTAACAAAGGCTCACTGGAATTTCTTCAGCCTTCATAATAACATTGAACTTAAGCAGAAATGAACTAGCCTCTGAAAGACAGATATATGCGTCCCAGCTTTGAAGAAGTATCACAGACTATTTAAAACTTTCAGAAGTTTTGTTCACTTGGTTTGGCAGAGGCGGAAAGGGGGTGTTAAGTCTACAAAAGTGTTCATTACTTTAAAGATAAAATCTCTCTCGGAGTAGAGAAAGTTGCAAATCAGCGAATAAAACATTATCTTTCAGTAGCTCTTCAGTAAATATCTCTCTTATTAATTTTCCTTGTTACTTTACCCTATCAGCAACATTTAGTTCCCACCTATTTTGCCAGTATCTGTCGCAGAATAATAAATGAAGTCTGGGAAAGTYAGCAAGACAACAAGCGTGGGCTTTATACCCAGTAACTCATAAACCCAAAGAACATTTCTACTAGATTATTTATTTTCTAGTGTCTGAACAACTTGTGCCATTGCCATAAATTCTAAGTATAGCCTGCTAGAAAACAACCCTGCTAAACATAGTGGCTTCCCAGCAATAGAACCAAAAAAAATTATGTTTGGAAGTTCTAACACAATGCTAGATGGCAACTGTAGTTGGGTATGACAAATGCTTTTTCTTATGTTTGCTGTGTTCCCTAGCTAAYCTACAACTTCCAAAATCCACCAGCCCCATTCCACTGAACCACACTTTGGCTGATCATAAAAATCCCAGGCTGAGGCTAATCTTGTGAGACACAGTTAAGTTCAAGAGCCCAAAATCAAGGGTGAAGCACAGAGCCTTAAGGTAACCATAAGCAGAATTATTGAGGCTTGGAAGCTGCAGTCTGCACTTTTGGGGGGAACTGGAGATTCTTCTATAGTGTTTAAGGTTTTACATTTAACWCAAATGGGGGAAAACTTGGTTTGTCAAAAAGTTGTAGAGCTCTGCTAGGAAACAGCTGCTTGCAAAATAAAAATTAGTATGAGTTTATTATGAGAGTATGCCTGCTTTGATGCATTATCCTTGAGTGTAGGGTTAAATGTGAAGTAAAAGAGAAAGCAATGAAAAAGAGCTGTCTGATCATGCTTGAGAAATCCTATGTACTCATGCTTAACTCTCCTAAATTACAGCATATTACTGACACTTGAGTTCCCACAGCCATTAGATCTTCCCTTTTTAAAAACTAAAATACTATATGTAAAATAAATGTGATCCAGACTCAAAAGAATTGCTGACATATGCACTCAGGAAAAAAAAATGTAAAAAACCCAGAAAATCCCCAACAGTTAAGAAAATGTGGAAGTATATCTACTGAAAGCATATACTTGAAAACAGAAACCTTCCTAATAAAGATAGCAAATCTCAGCTATTGTAGACTTTTCCATTTGCCCCTTAAGCAATATAATTTAGAAATAATTTATATATAAAATACATGTTATACAGGTTGAAGAATGAACAAATAATAAACAATTAAGACTAACATACTTTTGCATTTGATGTAGTTATCTACTAAGATACAAAATACTAGTGTGCTGGTTTTGGCTGGGGTGGAGTTCATTTTTTTCTCAGTGGCTGCTGTGGGGCTGTGTTTTAGATTTTTGCTGAATACAGGGTTGATAATAAGGAGAAGTTTTTGTTATTTCTGAGCAGGGCTTACACAAGCCAAGACCTTTTCTGCTTTTTGTATTGCCACATTSGCAGGGAATATGCGGGTGCTTGGGATGTTGGGAGGAGGCACAGCCAGGACAGGTGACTCCAGCTGACCAGAAGGATATTCCCGAGCACATGAGGTCATGTTCAGTATATAAAGGGAGAAGAAGAATGAAGGGGGGATATCTGGAATAATGGTGATTGTTTTCCCAAGTAACTATTACATGTAATGGCCTCAGCTCTCCTGGGGATGGCTGAACACCTGCCTGTCCATGRGAAGCAGTGAATTAATTCCTTGTTTTGATTTGCTTTTGTGCCTGGCTTTTGCATTTCCTATTAAACTATCTTTATCCTCTACCCATGAGTTTTCCAGCTTTTACTCCTTACATTTTCTCCCCAGTCCTGCTGGTGGGGGAGTGAGTGAGTGGCTGTGTGGGGCTTGGCTGCTGGCTGGGGTGAAACCAGGACAACTGGACAGAGGAAAAGATGGCATGCCTCTTGCGAGAGAAATGACAACACTTAACAGCCGTCACAGGAGCGAGGTCTGAGAAACTGCTGAGCTAGCCCTCTCCCACAGAGACAAGAACCCCTAAGCTGAGCTGGGAGCAYTCAACAACAGCTCAACAAAGCGCTCAACAGCATTCCCTGGGAGCCTCAGGTACCCGCTACCTCACAACTTATTCCTGTGGAAGAGGAGTGGACTCCTCCTGCCCCAGCAGTCACCACACCAGATACTTCTTTGTATCTGCTAATGCTGCACGTCAGTTTGTACCATATCATGGGGTTGGTCCTATCACTAAAGAAAGAAAAGAAAATCTGATATGTGCAAGTAGCACTAAGACTGTACCTATCTACAGGAAATAATAAAACAAATTTTTAAGCCAATGAAAGTCAAAGAAAATCTGAAAGTATCACAGATCAAGAAACAAAATCTTACAGCCTAAACAGCCATTTCAAATAAGCCAGTTCTCTGACTCTAGCAATACAAGTTTCAAGAAAATATGAGCAGGGACTGACACAAGGACAAGAAGATGAGAATGTACATATGTAGTGTTTTCAATTGTCTAGACAAGATCCCCAAGGAGAAAAGAAACAAAGAAAGAAATCAACTAAGTATGGTTATTCTGACTATGTATGTTATACTGGACAACTTTTAAGATTAAATGTCTTTTCTTCTCTGCCTTTCTCCCCTTTGATGCACTCTAAAGGATCAGTGCTTGTAGCAAGGTTTTCCAACTACCTTGTAAGCAATGTAGTTTGCATGTTCTCCCAGCATTACACCACAGCAGTTGAGAACACAAGCCAAACAAGTGTTCCTACAAGCTACAAGTACAATTAAGSGATTCCTTTAAAAAGCATGTCCCTCAACACAATGAGGTGTGAGTCAATTTAAACAGTAACTGCGGTAACAAAAAATAGAAAAGACAAGACTATCACATCAGATGCTAGGGGAAGAGGTAAAAAAACCCAATTCTACATATAAAGCAAAACAAAAGAAGTTAATTTGGGGCTTCATACAGAGTATGCCATAACAGATTAATTCCTTGTCAACGTATTTCCTTTATCTTCTCTTAGATTTGACAARTTTCTGACTAAGACTGCCTAGGTTTTTAACCTGGGAATAAAGTTTCACTAAAGCTCCACTCTGGTCACAAAAAAGTAATCAGATCACCAAGAAAATCCTAATCCATCACAGCCATGGGTCAGCATCACAAATTAACCATCAGTTTGGCACGGCCCTACACTTCAAACCTGAGCTAGTGTTGCGCTGGATATCACGGCTGTTGTAAGAACATTGGCTTTCAGCATGTATYCCACCTTAGCCTCAGTCCTCTGAGGCCAAGCTTTGGTAAGAACATCCTGACATCCTGACTTCATTCAGGTATCATCCAGGAAACACTGACAGCACTTACTGCAGTCCAATTTACTGAAATAGTCTGCATTTGTCCTGACCACATCATACCTCTTTGTACAGTATAACACCTGTGAAGCTGAAGTCAATTTGAGATAGCAGGTCAAAAGCTGAAAGATGTATCTTCAGACCAGGCAATAAAATTTTGTAAAGGAACAAGAAATACTGATTTTTACAAGGACATACAGCATCTCACATCATCAGTGAGCAGCAGAAGGTAAATTTAAATGGTATCTACAAAACATGGAGGGGGAAGACAATGAAATTACGGCTAAAAAGAACTTACTTGATTTTACTGAAGACAATGTCAACATCTGTGGTTGTCACATTCTTCCCATCTACCACATTACAGTCCTTACATAGCTTTGTCCAGTTCTTCCCATGCATTTCTTTTCCTGTGGCTCTCGTATCACCATGGACTGCAAATTTTCTAAAGGCCTCTTCCAGAGCACTTATTTCTCCTGCCGCAGCTCCCTCCTGAGAGTTTGAGTCAGTGGATAATCTTTTTGCTGGTTTGGCAGATTTTTCAGCCATTGTGCTGCAAAGAAAAAGAGGGTAAATTTATTACATTAATTTGTACTAGATTACTTTCTGTCAATCTACATGCTACAGTCCATGTCACAACATATTAAGAATAAATGGCCTATGAAATTAGCGTGAACTCACTGTCCTCCACCATCAAACATCAGACTAAAACAGAACTATATAACTCTCTGACCATCTAGGAAAATACCTAGTACATTTAAAATAAAGAAACAGCAGGGCAAGAAACTAGACACAAAACTAGTTTCGCCATCATTGCATCAGCCAAGAAAAGTACACTTAATATTGGATTTCTTCTTTTTTTTTTTTTTAAATGACAATCAGCACAGTCACTCTGTTGACTTGAATAGAAGTATGTGCTTTACATTGTAGGCATTACTATCTACTCATTTTTCTGAAGGAAAAATAAACATTCCTTTATTTACTGGACTGTGGCTTTTTAGGTTTTTTTTTAACTGAAAAATTTAATATTTTTGAAGCACAGCAAAAATATTAATGTTAGAACCCTTATATTATGTAAGGGCTAACAAGGACAAGACAAGTCTCTCTTCTTATCAAGACCATTAATTTCTCAAGTTTATGCCCAAAGAACTGTAGCTGTGGAATTCACTTGGAATGAACACATCCATGAGACAGGAATACTGAGAGGGGATGTCACTGCAGACAAGGAGTTTCAGACTACTCCAAGAAGATATAGGATACGTTTGCCTTTTAAATGAAACTGAGCAACAGAATACTGTTTTCATGTGTCTTCATTAAAAAAATACCCTAAGGTGCCAGAAGCATGTCACAGGAATCTTTGCCTTCTCCCCATGCACTCTTGGCATGGCAGAARTAAGAGGCACTGAAAAACCTTGGCACAAGGGTACACTGCCTGCCTGCCCCAACAGCTGCATACAGACTATCGGCACAGTCTGGTGCTGCTACAAATTTTAACCCATAAAGAGATGCTTCAGGTATCAGAAGTTTGGCAAATGCTAGATAAAGGCTTATTCACCAGCCCTTTCTTCCAAAGTCCCAGCTGTACATGGGATGTGATTAATATACACAGAGATCGGTAGGTATTTCTAATTAAGGTTTTACTTCTGCATCAGACAGGAAGATCTTATTTAGTGTACATCAATACAAATGCCTCAGCAAGGGAAAGGGTTCTAAAATTCTACCCCTTTCTATACTGTTCAAACCCTATCACTTGAACAACCACAGCATACCCTTTCCCGCACACTGTAACAGAACCAACCACAGCTACTTGCTATGCAGCAGTTATTGTTAAGCTTTTTGATTAGGAAGAATTTTTTAATTAAAAAACATACTAAAAGGACCTTTGTCCTTCACACTTGAGCAAACACAGCATGGCCAAAGCACTACTGGCTATTTTGAAAACACTCAAGTAAATGCTTAAATCCCTTGTTATACATTAAGCCCTGTTATATATATCTGTTTTATTTGCATACTCAGCACGAGTTTTGGCCAAGAAACCAAAATGCTAAACTAAAATTAATGACAGAAATTTATTAACTGTAGACTGAGAATTCTGTGTGCACCTATAAAATAAAAAGAGAAGCACAGACGGCTAAAAAAGAGTTTGAAAATGTCAAGTCATTAAGTAGTTTTAAAAGTAACCAAGTCCCATTTCTATTTTCTTTGCATCCKGCCTACTGTCCAAAGAGGTGGAATTTTACCTCAAAAAACTTAACTGAAAGCACCCCAAGACTGAAACTCCAAAAAAAGCATGCACAGTAAACTGTAATCTACTACAAACATTACAGATGCACACATTTTTACCAAAACATGCCTAGATAAAATCTTCTGTTTCATAAGGCTACATTTTTTTCTACCAAAACAGCAGTAAGASAATATAAGAAGAAAACAAAAAATATTGACACAATGTATACAAAGGAGTATTGCATTAAAAATCGTATCATGAAGATCTAAGATGTACCTCTATGTTCAAGGAAGCTTGACTTCCAAAAGCAGAAGCCTCTTCCAAGCTTGTACCTTTTCAAATCAAGTGGGGACTGAAATACAGTCAAAAATTTTCCAAGCTAATACTRACTGGCTAGAAAAAGAGAACACAGATTAAAAAAAAAAAAGTCTGTGTAGGATATTAGAAATCAAAGTTATCTTCGTACACAAGCTACAGGACAGAAGAAGGTGGAGACTTGCCATGGTAAAGTATGTATAGTTTGCATAATTTTGTAATTTTATCTTGTGGCAAATAAACTTTCCAAGAGAATTGCAGGGATAGCTCCTTCTTGCCCTTACCAATCCTTTTAAGAAGCTATACTCAGTGTGAATATCTTTAAAAGATACAACGATAGCATACTTTACTAGCTATAAACAAGAAAACATCTGTACCACTCTGTCTCATCTGAAAATAACCACATGCCTACATTTTTAAGGATCTCCTGAACAAAATCTTTCTTTAGCCAGTGTCAGTGCCTTGTTGGCCCATTTTGCTTAACGCTTTGCTGCCTATAACCATAAGTCAACTTTGCACAGCACAGCAGAATCATGTTTTGGTGTTCTATACAGCCTTGAATAAGATAGCTGTATCAACTGGAACTATTTTTTACTTAGTTTCAATAGCAAATAAATTAAAACTTTATAAACTTGTTATAGGACAAATGTTCAAAGGAACATACTTGGTCTTCAGAAAGATAGTTTCAGACCTATTTCTCTCACTCATCAATAAATGGACTTTGTATTGGGTGTTTTTAGTWGTTCTGCATCAGGAGTACAGACACGCTACAGAAAAGGCTTTAGTTTTGAATGGTAAAATCTGGTATGCAAAACACACTCATTTCAAATAAATTCTCACCATCTAAAGTGGAAAGTCAATGACAGATTAAAACTAGAGCTCTGTGGGGTTGCCAAATATTATCATGGACACTCCTTGCTGAATCATAATTACAGTTTACTTGTTAAAATCCTATGTAATAGCATGAAATATATTAAAAAGAAGCTACCTGGATTTATGAAAAAATTACCTAATCTCAATTTAAACTTTTCTTTCTTGATATTACAAACAACACAGTGTGAAGAGAACTATATTTATTAACATACTACAATTAGAAGGTATWGAACTGCACAACACAGGACATGAAATCAGACTTTTAGTGGGGTCAGCTCCTTTAACTTCTTTTAGTGTTAGAGATAAGGAAGGAGATCGTGTCATGTTGAGGAAATGATCTCTCAAAYAGAAATAAAGAATACCGCCTTTGACCAAAATTCAAGATCAAATACCATTTTGGGTGTTCCTTACCCTTTTTAACTGGTCAAAGGGATTAAAAGGTGCTTGATAGCTTCTGCTAGAAGTAAAGATTAGCAGCAATTTGGGATGAGGTCATAGCAAGATGTACAGGTGGAAGAGACAGAAGAAAGTGATTACTCTAGAATATCGAATTTAAAATTCAATAAAACAAAATTARGCCACTTTCAACAGCCTGAACTGTGTAGATGCTGACTCCAGCAATTACAGTTAACCAAAGAAATGCCTTCCATCACCATCCAAAAAGTCTACTATATACACAATTAGATAATACCAATCCAGAGCCAGCAGAAAGAAGGAAGGGGAGATTGGTGTTCATGGCTATTCTCTTCCAAATATTGCTTGCTCCAACCAAGCAGGTCCACATCACCCAAAGCAGCCAGGTAAGAAAGAGAGAAAAGCAGACACTAAAGTTTAGGAGGTTTGTAAAAGAACAACTATCTCCCCAAAAATGGAGCTTCAGAAGCCCACAGAATATTTAGACAGTTAAGATTATGAACTGTTGTAGTCTATGTCCTTTAGCAACATGAAAAAACCGCTTCTTGTCCCTTCCCCCGCTCTGCAGTAGGTAAATAATACAGCACATTATGCAGAGCTTAAGGCAGGGATCAAACCAACTCATGTTWACTGATGTTAGTCACTGACATCACGATTATCTTATGCTAAATAGACTGAAACTGCAGATCTGTGCTCTCAGCACATGCTTAACCCGTTAGAAAAAGTTTTCTAGTATCATCAAACTTGCTTTCAGACTGAGACTACAATACCTACTCATCTGCAGACAGACGGCTTTGACACTTTCACTAGATAGTCACTCATTAGCCTGGATTCTTCCATAAAACATGGGACAAGAAGTTATTGTTTCTGTGAATTTCAGCGGTCAATTTTCTATAGCTTTGTAAACACCCAAAGTCTCAATACTGACCATTGACCAACTCTACTGAAGGATTTACATTAATTTATTCTTTCACTGATCCACACCTTCTCCAGGTGTCAACAAATTGCAGGAATTCTGGTATGGCTTTGATTTAGATTTGTGSGAATTGCTCTTAGAAGTAATCCATCTCTCAGCAGCAAGGAAGATTTGAMCACTTACTAAAACAGAGCATTTTTGCCATCAATCTCAGAAGCTTATGCAGCTCTTTGAATATGCATGTATCCTATTAGGTCAGAATTCAGCACAGCACCTTCCCTGCCCTGTCCCTGAGAACTATTTCATGGCTTATTGGCTCAGTGAAAGATCAGTATTTGTAACACAAGTTATCATTGCTGCCATGCCACAGATAGGGAAACCGAAGAAGAGGGATGAAGAAACATGTCTGTTCTGCTGCCAGTATTCAGAACATCATGCAGACCCTGGGACCCATACTCTACATTACTTTAATTACTAAGATCACATAAAGCAGGCACATGAGTGTAATGGATACTCTGAAGAACCAACATTCTCTGACTCGATAAAGGAAATACAAATACATTCTCACTAACTGCAATTCTATTAATTCACTTTTGGATCTCCACACACAAAAAGTTTTTTACCAAAAAAAAAAAAAAAAATCTCAACAGGATACAAAAATCTGAATGCCTGTCCTTTTGGGCTCTACCATGTATTTTCTCATCTGCTTGGTCTAGCTCACCTCTAATTGCTTTCATTTGCAGCAAGTTTTAAAAAGTGTTAAAAAAAAACAGTTTTAATGGAAATCATCTCACAACATTAACTGCCATGG